AGCAAAGGAAACCATCTACAAAACGAAAAGACAATCTAACAACTGGGAGAAGATATTTGCAAACCATACATCTGATAAAGGGTTAATCTCAAAAATATATAGAGAACTCATGCATCTCAACAAGAAAAAAACTAACAACCCAATTAAAAAACGGGCAAAAGACCTGAACAGACATTTCTCCAAAGAAGATATACAGATGGCCAACAGGCACATGAATAAATGTTCAGCATCATTAATTATCAGGGAAATGCAAATCAAAACTACAATGAGATATTGCCTCATGCCAGTCAGAATGGCTATAATTAACAAGACAAGAAACAACAAGTTTTGGAAAGGATGTGGAGAGAAGGGAACTCTCGTACACTGCTGATGGGAGGGCCAACTGGTGCAGTCACTATGGAAAACAGTATGGAGATTCCTCAAAAAATTAAGAATAGAACTACCATACGATCCGGCTATTCCAATGCTGGGTATTTATCCAAAGAATTTGAAGACAACAATGCCTAAAGATACATGAACCCCTGTGCTCATTGCAGCATTATTCACAATAGCCAAGACTTGGAAGCAACCTAAGTGCCCATCAAGGGAAGAATGGATAAAGAAGATGTGGTATTTATACACAATGGAACGATGAAATCCAGGCATTTGTGACAATATGGATGGACATTGAGGGTATTATGCAAAGTGAAATAAGTCAGAGGGAGAAGGTCAAATACCGTATGATCTCACTCATTAAGTAGTAGATAATAACAACAAACAAACACATAGAGACAGAGATTGGATTGGTGGTTACCAGAGGGGAAGGGTGGGGAGGGGGAAAGGGATAATTAGGCACGTGTGTGTGGTGATGGATTGTAATTAGTATTTGGGTGGCGAACATGAGAACATGATGTAATCCATGAAGAAATAGAAGTATAATGATGTACACCTGAAATTTATACGATGTTACAAACCAATGTTACCACAACAACAAAAAAGAATAAAGATGTGAAAAAAGAAAAAAAAAAGAAATATATTGTTTACTTATGAATTCTCGAATTTTAGAAAATTCAACTTGGATAATGCCATATGAAGACTCACGTAATCTGAGATTTCTCTTCTGTGATCAATTTCATCATCATCCTTAGAGTCTAGAGCGCTGCTATCCATTACTTTGCATTCCTCTTCTGACTTGCCTAATAACCGTGAGATGCCATCCTCTGTCAATTTTCTTCTCCTTGCCTTTATAGATGGAAAAGAAATCTAAATTCTTAGTTTAATCAATGAATGGTAAAAACAGACTATAGAGATATTGCATCTAATCTTCTCATATATTTTATTGAAAGACAATTCAGTACTCTGGACAATGCATTACGAAAACTGAAGGTTGACAGTTTATTCCACTATTGCATCATTTTCTTGACAATTGTATTATTATTCTATGTTCATATTATTTTAGTCTTTTTTAACAAAGTTTGTAATTATTGATAAATATTTATGAGTAATGACGAAGTAATTTCTGGGATGATGAAATATAAAACTCTTTCAAGATATCGAAAAAATAAGTTAACTAAGATCCCTTAATACTGTCTCAGATTTATTAAGGGGTCCATTGGATCTACAAGATAATTGCAAGATGAAGTGAGTTTTATTTCTTTAAACAAGTAAAGATTCTCTTTATTCTTTGGAAGACCTCTAAGAATGAATGGAAGTCATGAAATATTAATCCTTACAAATAGTTAATACTGCTCAAAAAAGAAAATAAAAAATGAAAATCAGGTCTAATGGGCCGTAATAGTATATTAATGGGTAAGAACTTGAGAGGGAGACAGATATTAAACAAATAATCACACAAATTAGATATTAAAAACAGACATAAATGCACTAAAGGAAATTTTTAATTACCATGACAGAGTAAAGCAGGTTTCTTCATTTAGATTGACGGGTCAGGGAAGTTTCCCTGAAGAAGTGAAACTGAAGTTATGTTCTGTGCTCTGAGGCAAGAAAGAACTTGACACATTTGAGGAACTGAAATAAAGATTGTGCTGGGGGCTGGCCTGGTGGCACAGTGGTTAATTTCACGCACTCTGCTTAGGCTGCCCAGAGTTCACAGGCGCCGAACTAATGCACCACTCATCAAGCCATGCTGTGGCAGGCGTCCCGCATAAAATAGAGGAAGATGGGCACAAATGTTAGCTCAGGGCCAATCTCCCCCACTCCAGAAAAAAAGATTGTGGGGCTGTGAGCAGGGAGAAAGTGTTCCAGTGACATGAGATGAGGCAGGAGAGGCAGGCCTCAGCACAAAGGAGGCCCTGTATGTCCTAATGAAGAGATTGAATTTTACCCTAAGTGCAGTGAGAAACCACTGAAGAGCACTAAGCATGGAGATAATATAATCATATTTGCTTTTAAAAATTACTAAAGTAGGGGGCCTGCCCTGTGGCATAGCGGTTAAGTACACACGCTCTTCTTCCGCCGCCCTGTGTTCACGGGTTCGGATCCCAGGCGTGCACCAACGAATCGCTTGTCAAGCCATGCTGTGGCGGCGTCCCATATAAAGTAGAGGAAGACAGGCATGGATGTTAGCCCAGGGCCAATCTTCCTCAGCAGAAAGAGGAGAATTGGCATCAGATGTTAGCTCAGGGCTGATCTTCCTTACCAAAAAAAAAAAAAAAAAATTACTAATGTAGTATATGCTCATTAAAAAAAAAATTAGGCAATATAAAAACATAGGAAAAAAAACAGTAAAAGAGTTCTCTTGAGCCCATGCTCTGATACCAAAAGTTTTTCCAGGCTCTTTTAGTTGATATGCAAATGCAACTACAGATAAGCACGTTTCTCATATTAACTATGATTACGCTAGTAATAATCTTCTGAAACCTTCATTTAACGTTACACCTTGGGCATGTTTCCATACCAGTATCCATATTGACCTACCTTATTCTGTCAACGGCTGCCTAGCATTTTATTGTAAGAATACACCAAGGGATTGCCAAACTTTTTCTGAAAAGAGCCGGGTAGTAAAAATTTTAGGCTTTGCAGTCCAAGAAACCACATATTCTCCTATGATGGTATAAAATCAGCTATATACAATGGATGAACAAATGACTGTGGCTGTGTTCACAGGTTGTACATAACAGATTGTGAGATGACTTGGTCTACAGATTGTAGTTTGACAACTCCTGGAATATAGTACAATTTATTTATTGACGAGAGTGCCATCCATTTTTTTAAAAACCCAAACTTCTTAAAACTAAAAACCCACACGTTAAAAAAATTGAACCTATAGAGAAAAGTCTAATACTAAAAGGAATAGTTCTTTTCTCCCCCTTCATACCTTAGTCCCATTGGACAAATGTAAGCCTTTTTGCCGGTTTCTATCTTTTCGTTCTCCAGCAGTTATCATGATAACTTTAATATTCTTATGCCATTATTTCTCGATTTAAGGACATGTTGATTACATAATGCTAAAAAGGCAAGAAACATGTTGACTTTCTAATGTTAAAAAGAAGAAGGATTTACTGCATTGTTACTTCCTACCTTCTCTCTTCCTCTCAAAATTGTTATATTATTATTTTATTTCTATTGAGGTTTGTATTATCTACAATTTATTCAGCGACTATAATGAATTCTTCTGTGCTTTGTTTCTAGGTTAATTCTTTAAAAATTAAAATAATAAAACAGAGTTAACATTATTACGATTATGTAAGTATATTTACTGCAGAACCAAGTATTCACAGAACCCATAGAGAAGGATCCTTATGTCACTGAGCTCCAGATGCTAGAAGGAGACTGTCTCAAGAATCCAGGGCCAGTGGATTCTCTTTTAGTGTCTCTTTGCTTCTTCCAGATCATACTTAACTGACTATATTTCAAATCTGTTTTCTTGTATGTCTTTTACATTATTTTGGACTAATGCCCCAAGTCACACATATATTATACTCGTATATGCACAGAGTATCTAAATGATAAATGCATCAAAAGTACATTTATTTTTGCCCCAAAACACTTAATTGAAATCTATGCCCTAATTTTAGAAGGCAAAGTCTAAAATAATTTATCTTCTGAAATTCAAAGATTTTATTTCATTACTTTCAATATTCAGTGCCATAGCTGAGAAGTCTGAGGTCAGCCGGATATTCATTCTTTTCTAAGTAACCTACAGGTGTTATTTTCGCTTGAACTTCAGATTTTTTTTTTATCCTTAGCGTTTTGAAAGTTTTCAGAATGTTTTTACATGTTGGTCTTGCTTTACAAATTACTATTATTCATTTGGCTCTAGTTAAATACATGTTAGGGCTTATCAATCTGAAGACTTCTGTCTTTCTTCATTCTGTGAATGAAATTTCTGAAATAGAAAAGTCCACATAAACATAAATGTACATCTTAATGAATTGTTACAAAGCAAACACTCATTTAACCACTATTTGGTTTAAGAAATACAACATTGCCAGCAATGCAGAAGCACCCCGTATGCTCCTTTGCAATCACAACTCCCCTCCCGCTCCACTAAAGTAAATCAGTATTCTACATTTTATCACAAATCACAATTCTTAAAATGTTTTCCCTGCCCAAGTATGCATGAAAATTATAGATTATTTTTTTCTGTTTTTGAACCTTACATAGGTGGAGTCATATAGTATGTATTTTATGTCTGAATTCTGTTGCTTAATATTGTGTTTATGTCCTTTTAATTCCTGTATAGTCCTCTATTATATTAGTGTAACACAATTTCCTGATTGGTACTATTATTGATGGACATTAGAGTATTTCTAGTTTGGAAGTCTTATGAATGACGTTGTTATAAATATCGTCTTACATATCTTTTGGTGAACATCTGTTCACATGTCTGTTGAGTGTCACTTTGCTAGATGATAGAGTATGCATATGTTCAACTTCAGTAGGCAAGGTCAAAATGTTTTTCAATATTTATATTCCCACTGGATATATATGAGAATTACTGTTGTTCTACATCCTTACCAGCACTTTGTACTGTCGGGTTTTTCTCCTTTCATTTTCTTTTTTTTTTTTTTGATAAATTTTGACCATTCTGGTGGATGTGTAACCTAGTGTGAGGCAAACAGCTGTGTTGGACTTGGTAGGACTAGTCTGTAGACTA